GTGGCATAATGCCTAAGGTATTTGACTACTAACCAGATGGCTGGCAGTTCAAACTCACCAGCCACTCCTTGGAAGGAAGATCAGGCAATTTATTTCTGTAGGGATACAGTCTCAGAAACCCAAGGAGGGGTCAGTATAAAGCTTTTCCTTAAATATTTCACTGTTAAATATTTGAGAGAGGAATATAGACTATGTGTTAGTATTATTAGTTAAGTTGATTTCAACTCATAGCAACTCCATTTGTGAGAGGTAGAGGAGTACTCCATAAGGTTTTCAAGACTGACCTTTCAGAAACAGATTGCAAGACTTTCCTCCCAAGAAGACACTGGATGGGTTTGAAATGCTGTCATTTTTGCTGATTTTCCAATGTTTAACCATTTGAACCACCTACAACTCTTATAAACTATGAATATAATGTTAAAAATATATGTACATATATATATATAACCAAACCACACTGCTGTCGAGTGGAATCTGACTCATAGTAACCCCTCTTCCTTGGGCTTCCGAGGTGGTATCTCTATGGAAGTAGATTGCCCAACCTTCCTTCTGAGGAGTGGCTAGTGGGTTTGAACCATCAGCCTTCTGGTTAGCAGTCAAGTGCCTTAGGCACTAGTAATGTAAAATGGTTAGCAGTCAAGTGCCTTAGGCATTATGCTATTTTTATATTTATATAAAAATATAATATAATACATATATATATATATATATACACATACATACACACACACACACACACACACACACACACACATATATATATATATATATATATATATATATAAAAAAAAATACATACATACATACACACACACACACACACACACACACACACACACATATATATATATATATATATAATTTGTGTCTGCAGGAGCTCTGGTAGCTTAGTGCCTAAGGCATTTGACTGCTAACCACAAGGCCAGCGGTTCAAACCCACCACCCACTCCTCAGAAGGAAGATGGAGCAATCTACTTCCGTTGTGATACTACCTCGGAAACCCAAGGAGGGGTCACTATGTATCGGTCCGACTCATCGGCACATAACAACATCAACATTATGTATCTGTGTGTGTGTGTGTGTGTGTACACAAGCTGCCAGTGAAATACAGCGGGTATGACTTGCTGGCAGAGAAAACCAAAAAAGTAGAAACACAAGTTAGACTTTGAAAAGTTAATTTTATTTTATGTAAAGGAGAAAGAGACAGAATTAGAGAACAAATGAATTACCTGAGCAACACAAATAATAGTAAAAAATATTATTATTATTATTAGCTAACAGAAAGTAGTTATTTTCTACCAAGAATATAATATGTAGTTAAATATTACTGGAAGTAAAAGTTGAAAGAAATGCAGAAATGAAATTGTGAAATATCCTATATACAAACAAATGGGAAATTGTGCCCTTTCAGGAGGAACAGATAATAAAAGGATATTTCTTCTGAATCAATTAATTTATAAAGATAACCCCCTCACACACACACACACACACAAACTTGCTTGGAGAGCCTGATCAATTTCAGCCTAATCACAACAACCTAATACTCTTTATGCAAAGGACGACTTGCTCAGTCATGACTGCCAGTCCTCGTGTAGGCCTCAGGTCATGGACATAATTCAGTTTGCTGAAGAAATCCTCCAACTGTATCAGGCTTATTAAAGTGAAATCTTCTTTTGTCTTAAACCCACTCGCCCAATGAAAATAAATTAAAAAAAAAAAATGAGTTAATATTTTCTTGATATCATTGAACAGACAGCTTAAAAATAAATAAAATCTCTCTCTCTCTCTCACACACACACACACATATATGACTCCACAGGAAATTAATTATGTAATTTGGAACTCATTTTCCTTTTTGTTTTAGGACTCCTCCTGAGAAACCAAAGTTTTCTGTATCTCTTGGAATCTCCAAGGAATAGATTCACTAAGGAGTTTAAAACTTGTAGAGTATGTAAAAACTTGACTCTTTTCGACCTAGTCTGTTGCCTCTGGTGACATGGATTGAGTCACTTATTAAGGTTCTTTAGTCTCTGAAAGGGTTTCTTCCTGGTCTAGGATTTGGTGTTGAACTATCCTGTGGTAATTTGCCCCTCTTCACAGGGGTCCTGGACACAACAGTTCCTATGGAAACTTCATCCTTTAAGCTCTCAATCATAATTTCCAGGGGAAACATGAGATCAAAGTTGGGACTGTCTTCTGCTTTTTCTTCATCTAAATCATTTTCACTGGGAAGAGGCCACATTTGTAAGGCAAGAATATGGGGTGATTGAGGAAGAAGTTTTTTTGAGCTTGGAAAAAAAAAAAAGAAACTTACTGGAAGTATATTCTAAGTAAAAAAAAAAAAAAGACTATTAAGAAAAAGATATGCTCCCACTATGGGTTTGGTTTCTTTGAGTAAGATATTATGAAAACTAGAATAGATGAGATCTTTATTTGAAAATTTGCTTTCAGTAGTTCAGTAATGATTCATATGAATGAAGAAGTAATTGATGTAATTTATACATTTTTCTTTTGTGACATAGTTTCCTTTCTGCATTTTCCATTTATCCTTATTACATTCCTTAACCCCTGGCCTTAATTTATAATGTCGAGGTTTAATTCAAAGTACCTTTAGTAAACTGTTGTTCATGTTCTTTAGAAATTTCATTTTTCATATGATAAGAGTTTCTCTGTTTGTTCTCTCTTTCTTTCTGTGTCTCAAATGTATAGCCTGGAATTAGGCTATCTGGAACATTGTCTCACCTGGTCATATCACTACAAAACTTCAAAAATACATTTGATACCCTGAATCTTCTGTTCAGTTAGTATTTCCTTGCACTGCTTTCATGTTTCCTGTCTTCTGTCTCAGAGTGCTTAAAGGAAGTTTATGGATTACAAACTGAGAAAGCGACATTTAAATTCCATTTTGAATGATTTCTGCTTTTACAATTTCTCCCATGAATGACACGAAAATGGTTAAGTGTGCTTTTATGAAATTTTTGATAACTTTTTAAATTATCTTACTATAGGTAAATAAGATGCTAAGACAGCTTTGTTATTGCTGTTATGTGTGTTGAGTTGGACTGACTCGTAGCAACCTGTCCTTGGATTTCTGAGGCGGTATCACTATGGAAGTAGACTGCCTAGGCTTCCTTCAGAGGAGTGGCTCGTGGGTTTGAGCAGCCAGCCTTATGGTTAGCAGTCAAGTGCCTTAGGCACTAGTAATGTAAAATAATATTTATTTTTCTGCTCAAAAATAGCCATTTCTAGCATAAAAGCAATCTA